TCGGGGCAGTGACCCCCAAACTAGATGAGTGGTTGCAACAGATCCCGGGAACAACATCGGACATCTCAGTCCAGAAATGTGCAGTGCTGGGAACAGCAAGGATACTGCGCAGAACCCTCAAGCTTCCTGGCCTCTGGTAGAGGACCCGAGCTGAATGGGGGACGGACACCATCCGAGGGGTGAGACGAGGAGATATATATATATGATGGGGGAAAGGGGAAAAAAATGTTGTTGCTGTCTCTACATAATCCAATTATTAAACCTACTTTATGGCACATTATAGTACAATGAAATGGAAAACAAAACCTAGTGACAGATTGGAACCCAAATTTAATTCTTTAATTCATATTATATAATTATCATTGCCTCTTAACGTTGGTTTTGAACAGAGAAGCAAATGTTGATTTATGTGAACAATTTACCATCACAAAAAAACAAAAAACGGAGTTTTTGTAAACCTCAATTATTTGTTGTTGTTCACACAGTATGGTATTACCATATATAAAACTTCTCCATTTCGAATCAAATTATCCGACATTAAAAAAAAAAAACATTTTCAAGAAGTTGGAAAATGAGGCATTAAAAATCATTGTGATGACTACTTCCTTCTCTCTTGTACAGTATCATCAATTCAGTCTGATAAAAACATAAGAGAGTCTTGTAAAGCACTGTGTGAGAATGTGTGTGTGGACAAAGAGCACACAAACATCTTTGGCTCGACAGATCAGAGGAGGAATCAGTTCTTACAGTAACAACACTATGACATTTCTTCCACGTTAAACAAATGGAGAATGGAGGCACTTTGGCTACTTCTGGTCAGGAAGAGGATGCCGTTCAGCCCTAACTCATCAGGAAGCTGTTAGGGACGCAAAGAGATTTTTCGTAAACTAGATAGCATGACAATCATTTCTTCATTCTCACTTCACATGCCTACCTATATGGATAGCCGTGATACTTGGCCCTGAAAATAGACAGTAGCCAGCTGAAGAACAGCACCACCAGAGCAATACCTACAACACACATAACTGACACGCAAAAGCACAAACAAATGAAACATTTAGGGATGCTTAAAACTCACGACAGTGAAACAACGTTACAGTTGGTGTATTAAAGCCTCCTTGTACTCCCGCGTTTAATGGTCGCGTCGCATCACGTGACCGACGCATAGTGCTGTGTGTTTAAGCTCTCATCAAGTCAGACTACACTAATGTAGCCTGGTTTTGAGTCGACAGATGTGTCGCAAACAAACGTACTTGTGCTGTTGCCGATTTTGAGTTGTCTTGACGCACAGTAGCCCGTGTAGTGACATACGATTGGTCTTGAGGCGTCCGGGATATTTATCTGTCCGTGCTCTTTGCATATTTATCACACAAACAGATTTCAATTCATCAAACAATTTTAATATCACAGAAAGACAAACCAAGGAAATACAAAATGCAGTTTCTAAATATCAATATAATTTATTTAGACACAAAAAAACCCTCCCTGTCCCTTTGTGAAAAAGTAATTGCCCCCTGAACCTTATAATGGGTTGTGCCACCCTTGGCAGCAATAACAGAAATCAAGCATTTGCGATTATTGGTGATGAGTCTTTCACATCGCATTGGAGGAATTTTGGCTGAACTGCTTCAACCCCGCCATGTTGAAGGGTTTTCTAACTTGAAATGCCCATGTAAGGTCACACCACAGCATCTCAATTGGATTCAAATCCAGACTTTGACTTGGCCACTCCAAAACCTTTTTTAAAAACATTATTTTTTTTAGGCCATACAGAGGTGGACTTGCTGGTGTGTTTCGGATCATTGTCCTGCTGCATAATACAAACGCGCTTGAATTTGAGGGCGGAAACTGATTGGCGGACGTTCTCTTTCAGAATTAACTGGTAGACAGCAGAATTCATTGTCCCATCAATCACAGCAAGTTGTCCTGGTCCTGAGTAAGCAAAGCAGCCACAGACCATCACACCACCACCACCACGCTTCACTGTTGGCCATAATGTTTTTTTCTGAAATGCTGTGCCATTTGTACCCCTGACTTAATGGGCCGTACATCTTCCAAAAAGTTCAATTTTTGCCTCATCAGTCCACAGAATTTTTTTCCCAAGTCAAGGATCATCAAGATGTCTTTTGGCACATGCGAGATGAGCCTTCGTGTTCTTTTTGGACAGCAGTGGTTTTTGCGTGGGAACTCTCCCATGGAAGCCATTTTTGGCCAGCGTCTTTCTTATGGTGGAGTCGTGAACACCAACAATGGCTCTGACAGTGGCATACTGAACCCCACAGTCTTGGAAATGGCTTTGTAACATTTTCCAGATTGATCGATTCCAATAACTTTTCTGCTAATTTCTTCTTAAATTTCTTCGGATCGTGGCATGATGCGTTTGTTTAATGAGATCTTGTAGCCTACCTCACTTGGTCTGACAGATTCTATTTATGTGATTTCTTGATTCAACAAATGTGGTGCTAGAGTGTTGCCTCGGAAATCAAACTCATCTTTTCCCCAAACTGTCATTAGTTTCTATGTAATTTAACAAGGGGGTTAATTACTTTTTCACAAAGGGACAGTTTTTTTGTGGCTTAAAAGTTTGACTTGGCATTTAGAAAATGCATTTTCTATTTCCTTGGGTAGTGTCTATGTGATATTAATATTGGTTTGATGAACTGAAACCTTTGCATGTGATAAATATGTAAAGAACACAGAAATCAGGAAGGGGGCAAATTCTATTTCACAGCACCGTATTTCAAGGCTCACACTCGTTCTGTTTAAGATATCTTACTTTTCCTGCTGAACATGTTCTTCATCACTGCAACCAACTGCTACATTCACTAGCAGATTTGTTTGGTCGTCCTAAATGACTACGTTAGGTCACACTCAAACCTGTTTTGTCTGAAAAGAACCTTGAGGTAACTGTTGTGCTGTGCTTTTAAGCCATCGAGGTCAAACTGAACCAGATAGACTAAAGAGCTGCAGTCAACAGAAAGAAACATGTACATACTCTTCCTTTTTCCAATGTCTACATCAGAGGTAGCGGCCTCACACAACAGCACTATTCCCATGGTAACTGCAGCATCTTACAGAGGATGGAGGTCAAGGTTTAGCGACTTCATATATTCATCTAATGTTTGTAATTGCATTATTTCGTTTTTCATAAGATGATAGTTTTGTGTTTAAGGTATACCGCATGTTGTTATGTTTACGAAATGAAAATAGTAAAACATTTTAAGTAATCAATAAAATTACAGTAATATCACTTTTTAATCAACACCCCCCCCGCCCCCAAAAAAAAGATTTCTACAGCATGCATCTATTTGTCTATATTGTTTGGAGTGTGCTGACATGAAGAGCACCAATCACCAACTCATATGAACAATTCCTATGTGCGAAAACCCACTGGCCCGCTTCCCTCCACTGTTTAAGAATGTTGCCAACATATGGATCAATTCTGGCATTGTCAGTATTTACTTTTATTTAAAAAATGCTAGAGGGGTCAGAATAGTCATTAAATATAGCGCCAATGTCACTGTCAAGTTGACATCACTCAAGAGAAGTTGTTGTCATGACTCACTGGTACCGCCCCCGCACACATGCACCTCAAAATAAAAGCATGCATAGCTTATGTTTTATTTTGACTGAATAAAAACTGTGACGACCAGCTGTGGTCCATGCTCTGTACTTTGCCCAGGCCCTTAGTCAAACCTTGTCTGAATCTTACGCAAAGACCATATCAAACATTAAAAGAGAGAATGCACATGGCTGAAGGATACTGAAGAGGAGGACGATATGCGTCTCAGCCACGAACTGGGCTTGACTGCTGCCATGGATATAACTCTGGAAAAGAAAAAAAAAAACATTATTTGATCGGGAATTGGTTCAGCTGACAAATCCTCATTAGTCCGAGGCAATTTGTAGTCTAGTCATCTTACAATCTGGCCAGTGTTTGGGTTCTTGTGTGCATATGGGGGTCCTCTGATGTGGTTCCACATCTGGCCAGAGGTCATGATCAGGACAAAACACTGAAATTGAAAAGTTTTTTTTTTTTGTTAAGAGGAGTCAGCAGATTACTTGAATATCCCTCAAATTCATCACACAACTACAATATGAAGTAGTAAAAGTTGACGTTGGCAGATGCCTGTGTGGGTTTTATTCATGCTTACCAGTGCAGAGAAGGCCCAAACGTTGTTGTTAAAGAGAAACTCCAAATTGTTCCTTCGTAGATAGGCCAGTCCACCGATGACAGCAAGGAGAAAACCAAGAAGGAGAGGCCCAGCATAGTTGGGAGGACGAATAACTTAATAATAAAAAAAAGTAAAGAAAATAAGACGGCTCATTTTTTTTAACATGAAAATCATGTAAATGTGTGTCCATCTATCTGTTTTCTACCCCATGTATTCTGTTCAGAGTCACGGAATGCTGCAGCCCATCTCAGTTTCCCTTCGGCAAAAGGCAGACTATGCCTAAACTCTCTGTGATGTATCAATGAGAAGCATTATCGGCAATCGCGAAGCACAATAATAATAAAATACAATAACAATAGAAGACGTGAGATCGCGGACTCATTGCCGTTCAAAATGTTAGAGTGACGTAGAATCTTGTGAGAAACATTGTTCTTTGTGTTTTCCCTTGCAAAGAAATGCACTGTAGTGACATCCAAAGACAAGACATGGGCTCCTTTGAAAGAATTTGTGCTTCAGTGACAACAGCACATTGACAAGAGCAAAGATGTACTTGCAAGTAGTGTCGCCAGTACAGGTAAGTTTTTTTTTTAACTTGAACATAAGCATTTTAAGAATGTTAATTATAGGTGGATTGTTCAGACATGGAATTGTGACAGAGTTCCACCCTGTTAGGGGCATACGTGTACTGCAAAGTGTTCATTTCGTAAACATGTAAACATACTTAATTTCCATAATACCTTAAGTGTCACTCATTTCACGATGTCGTTTTTTTGTTCTTTTTTGAATAAATGAGAAATGTTCAGTAGAACGTGTGTTCGATGTTTCATTTTGTAACAAATTTTTCCAAAAAAAGAGTAGCTATTATGCTCAAAACAAACATAAATGCTGTTAATCCCTGTCAGATCTGCAAATTAACCTAAAAACATGCAGAATATTGCACAAAGTTAGTACGCTTTTTTTTTCCGTCGCTAGCAGCGTGGAATGATCAATAATGACAGCGCGTCTCAACAATGTTCTTATTCAACATGTTCACCGAAAATAACACAATCGTTCACAAATGAATTCCTTCGAGGGACACAACGGTTGTGAAACCTATTTGACCCATATAAAACTACGGAGTTATCTCTGGGACCATATTACATCATCATTTTACAAAATCAATTTAGGCCTGCTCTTGTAAGTCCAGCTTCTCTGACCTGGATAACCTTCCGACTGCACATTACGTTCTTGAACTAATTTCCACGTCCCCAATTCTTTTTTTTTCCTGTCTGCCTGTTTTTCTGCCAGCTCTCGCTCTCTGTCCTGAAGTATTCTTCTCTTCTTTTTGGATCAGCGCCTCGCCTCTTTGTAGCGACGCTGCAGCAAATGCATACAAATTAACTTTCTATCATCATGTGAATTGTGACAACGCTATTAGAATTACTGTTCAAATCCATACCGATTACAGTCGAGATGGTGTGATCGATGTAGCTGATCATGACATATTGTAGCGATGTCACACAGATTTGGGTTGTGAGGTTCTGCTAAGCACGAAATCTGAGACTTGGGGGGGGGGGGCAAAATAGACCAATAAGTCCTGAATATCAAGACTTTTGTTTATTTAAAAAAACAAAACAAAAAAAAAAGATAAATGTAGTTCTGTAGTCTGGTGTGATCTTTTGTATTCTATTTGCATTAAAGTTTTCGCCGCGTGTGAAAACGTATCATTTGTTCATTGATTGAGGGACAGCAACAATCATGATTTGCTTTTGTATCGTCTTCCGTTTTACCTGCATGAGAATTTCAAGTTCAATATCTGTTTTGTTTTTTTCTTCACGACCATCAAACATTGATATCGTTAGCATGCATTTAAAGTTTCAATCTGAAGGTTTTACACCTACCTGCACACCAGTCCTGTCTGCCACCCACCTCGCCAGCTGCTCAGCTGCAAAGCCTTTGACCTGGAGCTCGTAGTTATCAGGCTTACGGGGCTTCCCTTTCGCAGGGAAATGGAGAAATGTCGGCGCAGAGTTCATATTAAGCTGCAACAAAAACACATTCAACATTTACTGTCAAAGGCCCAATTGAAAGAAATCTGATCGGATAAAACAATCTACAATGGTCACTCATTTCGAGATAATTAAAAGCACATTTCAACTGTCACCTCATTCAATCATTCATACCAGGACTGATTTCATTCCATGGATCACACGAGTACGCCAGGAAATCTGGACACTTAAAGGAGAAGTCGAGTCAAAAACAGTCTTTACGATATCTTCGATGCGGCCACACTAGTCCAAACACAGATTCTGATTAATTAATATTGCATCTCTGCAATAGGAAAGAAGCAGCAAAATCCACCTGTTTCTATCCATGTCAGGGGGCGGCCATTTTGTCAGTTGCTGTCAAGTGAAAATGACGTCACAGTTGCTCAGTGGTCAGGTAACGACCAATCATGGCTCACGTGTTTTCTGAGTTTGGTCATGTGATGTTCACAAGCTGAGCCGTATTTGGTCGTTGCCTGAGCCCTGAAGCCCCCTATTCCACCGAGGGCCCAAAAACTGCGACTGTTGGCAAATGTAGAAAAACGCACGTTCAGATCAGTTCATCAGGGTTTGCCTTGTAGTAGGAATTTGACATCTAACAATGTTAACTTGCACCTTATATATAATTAACTGTTAACTTGTATCTGTTTCTCCATCAATTATAGCTGAAATGAATCTCATCGTTGTACAAAGACTTTCATTGTCTTGGTTTTCCTGGACAAGCCTAATGTTCACCAACAATTTTAGTGATTTTTCTTGTCGCAAGGAACCTTTTTGAGCAAGTTCAAAATTTCCTTGGGACAAGAAAAGTACAAGCAAACATCTGGCGAGCGTTTGTCCAACATTTGCGAGCTTGAACTTACCCAAACGAATCCTGATGAGAATGCAACGTTCACTGGCTTTGTTTGAAAACACTGGCAATTGTTCACCGTTCAGTGGGATAGGGGCTTGAGCAACTGTAACGTCATTTTCCATCGACAGCAAGCGGTAAAATGGCCGCACCCTGAGCTGGTCGAAAACAGGTGGATTTTGCGACTGAATTCCTACTCCACAAATGCAATATTAATCAGAATACTGTGTTTACTTTACACTTGTGAGGCCGCATACAACATAATGTAGGGAACATTTTCAAGTCGACTCCCCCTCTAAGAGGCATGTAATGACTTTAGCTTTTGCTGACAATCAGGTAAATCGGGAAATATATACACAAACATATACACACACACTAGACAGCGACACAGAGCCATACTACTGAGTAATTATGGCTAGCATGAATAAAGGCTGCTAAGCAGTATAGTTGCTGACAATCAGGTAAATCAGGAAATACACACACACACACACACACACACACACACACACACACACACACACACACACAGGTCAGCGACACAGAGCCATACTACTGACTAATTATGGCTAGCATGAGCAAAGGCTGCTAAGCAACATAGTTCCTAGGTTCTCAAACTCTCGTCTCACCATCTGAAAGACATCCGATCCTTCATCAAAATCGACGGATGCAAAGAAGACCTTGTTTGTGAAGGCAGAGGAATAGCGCCAGGAGTTAGCCAGCACTTGAAATTCTTCATCTGCTTGTCTGAAATAAAAACACGCGTTTGAATTCCACCCAACATGGATTAATATGGAATTGTACAGTATCACAGATGACTGAAACAATGACAACATCATTACAGAGGTGCAGGCTAAAGTGAAGGTCAAGTCAAAGTTCACTACAATAATATGTTCTACAGCAGGGGTCCCCAACCGCTGGTCCGCGGACCGGTATGTGATTAATATTGCATTTGGAGAATATTAATTCAGCAGAAAAATCCATGCGTTTTTATCCATCTCAGAGGGTGGCCATTTTGCCACTTGCTATGGACTGAAAATGACATCGCAGTGCCAAATGCGGCAAGCGAGGAAGCGGGAAGCTGGAAAATTCTGACTTCCGACAAGGAAAAGTGCACGATAACACCCCTTTGAACTGGGAAGTCTGAAGTGCAAAGTCAGGAGAATAAAAAAAAGGATCCAGAGTTCACTGACCACCTTCAATGTGTCATCACTTGACAATGGCGACCCCATGGAGAAACAGACGGTGAATGTCAAATACAAGATTAAATATATTTACTTAGGTATTTATTCATGCATTAATTTAGTTATTTGGAATAATTTCAAATAACACAGCGTGATTTGTAGCGACTGTGTGAACATGTGCTGTTATCTCCCTGCATTGAGTATTTTGGTGCAATGAATGAAATCATTTGAAGATAGTCCTTTATTTATAAAAATAAAGGAAATTGTGAACATTCGCTGGAGGTCAAAACGTGCAGTGAGGAACCAGAACAACAAACGATTGATCGGGATCAGCCATCTTTGTTGTTTACGTTCATCCCGAAGTTTTTGAACTCGGAACTAGGACAATTCATGCATTATCCGAATCGCTGATCCTCATGACGGTTGCGGCCGTGTTGCAGCCTAACCGAGCTGTCTTTGCGCAGTAAGTGGTGGTAATCCAAGAGTTTCTGATTTCCCACCTTCATGGAATGTAACATAGGGGCTCAGATCACGACCATCACATGACCAAAAAAAGAAAACAGGTGAGTCACGATTGGTGGTGACCTCCACCCTGTGTGGTGAGGTCATTTTCAGTCGACAGCAAGTGAGAAAAAATGGCCACCTCCTAAAATAGATTAAAACTAGTGGCTTTGTCTGCTACATTAATTTTTCACAAACGTAATATTGATCAGATTTCAATTTGTTTATATACCGGTAAGTGGGCTGCAATTAACATATTATAAAGACAATTTTAGACATGACTTCCTCTTTAAAGGTTGCTTGCTCCATACCTGCAGACCCCGCACTGCCTGTGGCTTTGCAACGCTGTAAACATGATGACGACGGAGTAGTTTCTGGGAGGAGCCTTTACAAAGCGGCGAAATTTATCACCGTTCATTCGAATGATGGAACGCTTGGAGGTCCACTCCATCATCTGTGTCACTTTCTCAGAAAGGAGAGTCTCCACAGAACACAGACAATAGTTGATACATGTTAACAATTGTAGACAGCGGTAAACCCTGATTGACGGGCTTTGTATTCCATTTTAAACAGTATAGAACATGCAATATAAAATATACGAGTTGGACACGGTATGGTACATGAGCAAAAGTTGGAAACATGATAAATTTATTTCATTCACGTCCTTCGATTAGTAACAGTTGTAGTGAAGTACTGTACTGTTTACTGATCCAAAATTATGACCTAGCATGGTCGAATGAGATCCAAATCAAGATCAGTATTAATCGGCATTAAATAAAAGATATACAGTATGTATTATATTCATAGTGTCAAACCATCTGTCGTTGCATGCACAGTACTGTATATACAGTGGCGGACACTGAGGGCCAGCAAGGCCTTCTCTGCTGGCCTAAACATTCCCAGAAAAGTAAATTTACTTTTATGTATTTTATGTTATTTTATAATTTATGTTATTTTATTTTCATAAATATGTAAACAAAATTATTCTCTGTATTCTTTACGTCATATTATTTCCACTTAGTTGAGTGGCTTTCAATGTTATTTTAAATAACATCCA